ATATAAAATATTCTAGAGGGGATAGTTACGATTTTGATGTGTTTCTTGTTCCTCATGCTAATTTGGTACAGCTAATGAAGTATATGTCATAGTTTCAGAGACATATTTAGTTAAATGTTTGAATTCTTTGCTTTTCCTTGCAGAGTAAAATGGTCACTTTCTAGCTTTCAAGGAATTCAGTGGTTCAGTTTCTGAATATGAATAGGATGGTACTGGCCTCTTCTAGCAAATAACAAGCACCCCGAGGGGACCGTCCATGGATCCCTGTTGTCAAATGGTTCTAATGACATATATGCCTTGAATACTTCTGAAAATTAGAAACCTGTTTCTTCCCAAAAATTCCTTGTCACTCTGAAACAGTAAGTAACTTCTACTCAGTATATAAAACATTATGCACATTTATTTTATGGTTACTCAGAACAAAACAGAAACGTAATTCTAATTTTTAAAAATGCATACTGATTTCTTAATAGCCTTGGAACCACTGCTAACATTTTAAAGAATATTTCATTGTCTTCCATTTTACAACCTCTTGTACTCCATGAACAGTTTTTGTAATGAGCTGCTCCGAAGACGTGTTACATAAGAATTGCCAAAATCAATAGCCCTGGGCAGTCATTCCCAACCCTGGGGAATATCAGAATCATTTAAGAACTGTATTAGTTTCTTAACATGGCTGCAACAAGTTACCACAATTGCAATGGCTTAAGACCAGAGAAAATTTATTTTCTTACAGTTCTGGAAGTCAGGAGTCTGAACTGAGTCTTATCAGGCTAAAATCAGGTATTAGTAGAGCTGGTTCCTTCTACAGGCTCCAGGACTGTATCTGTTGCTTGCCTCCCTGAGCTCCTCGTGACGGTGAGCATTCCCTGCCCAGTAGTTGCATCTCTAGTCTCTGCTTCCATGGTCACACTGCCATTTCTTTCCCCTTGAGTAGGCTAATCTCCCTCTGTCTCCCTCTTACAAGAACACTTGTGACTGCATTTAGGTCCTCCTGGATAACCTCCCTAGCTCAAGATCCTTAATCTAATCACATTTCAAAGTCTCTTTTGCCATATAAGATAACATTCACAATTTCCAGGAATTAAGACCTGCATATCTTTATGGAGACCATTATTCAGCAAACCCCACAGGCTTCTCCAAATGGCACTGAATCCTAGAGAAACTGCCTTGTCTTTCCCTTCAGGGAGAATCATCACCATGGGAAATCTTACCCCTACTGCTCTGAGACCTTCTGGTTATTTGGGGCAGGAAAAAAAAAAAAAAAATGAGAACCACTGTCTGAAGTATAAGGAACACTGCCATTTTTGAGTTATTGATCAGGTAAATGTGAAATTTTGAAATTTTAATCTCTGAACAATGAACAAATCACTTCATAAGATATTTACCTAAAATATGAAATGATTGAGAATGTGTGACAAATATTATGGACTCTGTTCAGAGCTTTATATCAAGGCTTTCTATCTTTATAAGAGCCCCTGAGCATGTGATCCCCAAGGAAGTGGACCATGGACATAATCTAAATGTGCCTGAGAACAGACATTTTTAAGCTCTTTAGTCATGTTTCTGCTGAAAGATTAATTTTTTTAAATGTTTATTTATTTTTGAGAGAGAAAGGTGGAGAAAGAGAGACAGAGCGTGAGCAGGGAAGGTACAGAGAGGGAGACACAGAATCTGAAGCAGGCTCTGAACTGTCAGCACAGAGCCCAACATGGGGCTCAAACCCACAAACAGCGAATTCATGACCTGAGCTGAAGTCAGACACTTAACCGACTGAGATATCCAGGCACCCCAGAAACATTAAATTTAAATGTTTCCCACTAGTACTTCATTTTTTTAAAATGTTTATTTATGTTTGAGAGAGAGAGAGAGAGAAGGCATGCAAGAGTGGGTGGGGTGGGGGGAGGGATAGAGGGGACAGAGGATCGAAACTGTCTCTGTGCTGACAGCACAGAGCCTGATTCAGGGCTCAAACTCACAAACCGTGAGATCATGACTTGAGCAGAAGTCGACTGATGCTCAACCAACTGAGCCACCCAGGTGCCCCTGCCACTAGTACTTTAAAAGCACTCAAACAAAACAAAATTTGTACAACACCAAGCTGAAATAAATGCATCTCATTTCACATTAGAAAGTAATATTACTGGTAACAATAGATAGTCAAAGTTAAATTGATCCTTAATAATTTAACTGCTAAGAATTATTTAGCTAACTACATTCTAAGTCCAGCATTGCACAAACATATTCTCTAAAAGGAACAAAGTAAAATAAATATCCTGCAATTGCACCACAACACCCTTTGACACTCTCAAGATTGTTTCACAAGGCTAAAGTCCCTGTGCCCCTTTCTTCACATCACCTCTTCATTTTTCCCTAGCTCACTTAGCTTCTACCTTAACTCCTATCTGCACTTTGTTAGCATTCCTTTGCTTTGGCCATATCCAAGGTGCATCATCTGTCACTGGCTTTCCATTTCAATTGTTGATGGAAACTCAGCTGGATACAGACTTAATCCTCACCAGGACCAGACCTGAGTAGACACTGCTGTAAAGCAAGCAAAGCTTCTTTCAGGGGATTATACTGAACAAATCTCTCCAGTGGCTTCTCATCATCCCTGGGGTGAGCTCAAACTTCCTAAAAGACAGAGGAAGCCTCCCTAAATGAGATTCCTACCTAAATCCCAAACCATCTTTCACACTTCCCTTTCACTGGCACACTAGGTAAGCCTCAGCCTAGTGCTCCCCAAAGCATGCCAGAATAACTCAGTATAATTCCACACACACACTTCATCTGAAATCTCTCTCAACTGCAAACATCTTATTCATTATTCAAAACTCAGTGTGGGGTCATCAGCCCAGTCAGGTTTCTCTGAAACAACCCCGTGACTCTGGCAAATCCCTCCTCCTTATGTTCTTAGTGTGCTTTATAAATGTTGCTATTGGGACACTCATGCCCCTCCATTTAAACTTTGCCCACATTTTTGGAGCATCTAACAATGCTCCAAAGAAGCCCATCTTGGTTTTCACACGTCTTTAAAAAAAAATCATATACTTCGACACTTTTGAGCCCTCTGATCAATAATAAATGAAACTGCAAAGTAAGGAAGGAAAGGACATCCACCACGGCCATATTTAAATTAAAAAACCAAGGAGCACAAATCATATTAGGGCAACTTTCTGCTTTCAATTTGACTCAAGAACATTAGCCACCTGAAAATAGCCATATCTAGGATGATCGAGATTACAACAGGAAACTGTCTGAGCATAAACTGCTATGGCAGGAAACTGATTAGTTCAGCAAAGAGACAGGATGCTTCTTGTCTCTACCATTGTCTGAGTTAATTCTATACCTCTTATATGGGCCAACTGCTCTGAGATAAAGGATTGTAAAGTTGACTCATGAAAACGGACTGAAGTACAATTAATAATAAATGCAGGAGTGATGCAAAGTAGTGCCTTAAATTATAAGGAACTTGGAATTAGTCAGCAAAGGTGAGGGAGAAAAAAGGCAATCCAGTAATATTAGGTACAACACCACAGTGATCTACAGAATATAAAGTTCTACATAATATGCTGATAATAAAAAGAATACTATCAAACTAAGTAGGAGGTATGCTTTGAATGAGTGCTTCTTCAGGATAATCTTTTCTATGAAACTTGAACAATCCAAATTGGGTTGCGTGAAATGTGCTGAACTTAAAAAAAATTTTTTAACGTTTATTTATTTTTGAGAGACAGAGTGTGAGCGGGGGACGAGCAGAGAGAGAAAGACACAGAATCTGAAGAGGCTCCAGGCTCTGAGCTGTCAGCACAGAGCCCGACACAGGGCTTGAACTCACAAGCCGTGAGATCATGACCTGAGCCAAAGTCGGATGCTTAACTGACTGAGCCACCCAGGTGCCCCATAAATGTGCTGAACTTTACTACTCAACATTCCATCCTGTGGTAGGCAGAATAATGGTCCCCCCAAAGCTGTCCCTGGAACTATGAACAATTTTCATTACATAGCAAAAGGGACTTGGCAGATATGATAAAGTTAAGGATGTTAAGAGGGTAGATTATCATGGATTATCCACCTGGGTCCAATTTCTTCACATGGTTTCCTAACATTGGAGGTCCTTTCTCAGCTGGCTGAGACCCGAGGGAGATGCAACTACAGAAGAATAGTCAGAGAGATGCAATGTTGCTGGCTTTGAAGATGGAGGAAGGGGTCCACGAAACAAGGGACGTGTGTGGTCTCTAGAAGCCAGAAAAGGCAAGGGAACAGATTCTCCTCCAGAGCATTAAGACAAGAATGTAACTCTGCCATTCCCTTTTAGCCCGGTTTAGTCCAGTGAGACCCATCTTGGATATGTGATTAAATCACTGTTAGATAATAAGTTTGTGTTGCTTTAAGCCACGGAATGCAGAGCAATTTGTTCAAGTTGCGATAGAAAACAAATATAAACCTGTAGTCTTTCAAAGGTTTTACTCAAACAGGAAAAATAACTCAAATAAACCGTTGTAACTTCAAAACTGTCTGTGCAACCCTAACATCTGCACACAATTTATTTCTAAAATGTTTTTTTGAGAGGCAAACAGAGATGGTCCTGAAATAGATTTTCCAAAGAGGTAATGAAAGATTCAATAAGCAACTGACAAGAAAACCTGACAGATTAGCAACTTCTCCCCAGGAATCCAACAGAAAGTATCATTCAACTTACTGGAAATTCTTTTGTACTGCAGTAGAAAGCCCTTTATCCCCACTACCTCTTCCCCCACCCTCTCACCTTCTCCCTCCAAGCTTCATTTTGAAATGTTTTTTTAGATGAAGTTTTATAAGAAACATTTATTGGCATGCATGTTTTCTAGAACTTATTATAGTAATAAAAGCTCCTAAAATTCAATTTGCTAACTGAAACTTTGCTGTTGTTGACCAAGTGGCATTGATTCACAGTCCAGGCTTTACTTGACATCTCACTGCTTTACAAACAAGTAGAGTTGAAAATCCTCCTTACTCACCACTTTGCAGCACAGGGGCCAAAACCACCACATCAAACCAATGCCCAGTAGTAGCAGTAACACCAAAATAGCAATGATGGCTGCAATCCCATTAGACTAGAAGAGGCAGAAGACAAAAACAAAGTGGTCAGTAAAGCGCAGAGTTAAATCCCAAATACATGTTTTTGTTTTTGTTTTTTTAAGGAAACACCAGAAAACGATGCGAAAAGCATAATGATGTCAAATCAGAGTTCTATTATATTCCTTTAAATTCGGTAAATTCCTTTATAGTCTATTTCATATATGTTAAAACAGTCAATAATAAATACAAAACCTTCCAAAGTGCTATAGACACTTTTAAATGATGGCTTAAAGAATGCAGGAAAAATCACTATCTGGGGTTATATGAATGGGCAGTCTGGGTCTCTATCTTTGTCTCTGGGAATGGATTATTTTGATTGCAAGCATGATTACTTCTGGGCAGAATGTATGCAGCATTTTCCCAGACTTTTTGATGATAGAAAACTACTTGCATTATGTATTTAAATGCCAGGGCAAGAGGAATATCAAAAATCACCAAGCAAATGAGAAACCAACAATGGTTCTTGTTGGCAAACAGTTCATATGCATCAGTGCAAGAAAGCAACCTCTGCACTCACATACCAGAAGATTTCTCACCACAGCTCAAGCACTAACCACTCAAGAACCACACTGGTGTCTGCTCGCTTCCTAATGCCAAGATCCTCCAGCCCTACGGAACCTGCTCTTACCTCTGCCTCCAATCCCCTTCCTGTAACCACCACCTACTCATCCTACAGTGCTCAGCTTAAGTCACTTCCCCAGGAAGCCTGTCTTGCACCCTCTGGCTAGAAAATGCCCCTCCTTGAAATAAACCATAAGAGACTCTTAACAATAGAGAATAACCTGAGGGTTGATGGAGGGGAGGTGGGTGGGAGATGGGCTAGATGGGTGGGTATTAAGGAGGGCAACTGTTATGATGAACACTGGGTATTGTACGTAAGTGATGAAACATTAAATTCTACTCCTGAAACTAATATTACACTATATGTTAACTAACTATAACTTAAATAAAAATCTGAAAAACAAACAAAAACAAAGTGTTCCATCAACTAATAAAAATTTTCTAAAAAAAAGAAAAGATAGAAAACATCTCTCTTTATTACACAATTCATAGTTCTCTGTACTTCAATCTTTAACATTATCATAATTTATTTATTTTTAATTTTTTTTTTAGTTTTTTTTAAAATGTTTATTTTTGAGAGGGGGAGAGAGACAGAGTGTGAGCTTGGGAGGGGCAGAGAGAGAGGGAGACACAGAATCCGAAGCAGGCTCCAGGCTCTGAGCTGTCAGCACAGAGCCCCACGAGGGGCTCAAACTCACAGACCAGACTGCAAGATCATGACCTGAGCCAAAGTCATACGCCTAACCGACTGAGCCACCTAGGCGCCCCTGTTTGTTTACTTTTGATAAACTGATTTCTTTAATTTCTCTTTTCTGCCACTATTCGTTAGGAGCTCTAGAAAGCCATGGGGTTACAACCAACCTACTTACCCATGTACATTCCATGCTTGGCATTTAAAATTATGAACTTGGCATTAAGAAAATGAACTCTAAAAAACTAGACTACAAAAGCCACTGATGCGAAGACTCGTATTTACTGAATTTTCAGTGTGGGGATAAAGTTCCCAACGGGACAAAGCGTGTCTCTAAAATCCTACTCTGGAATCCCCAGTAATAATGTTTTGTTTTTTGGTATGTGTGTCTTTCTCTTCCTTCCTTCCTTCCTTCCTTCCTTCCTTCCTTCCTTCCTTCTTTCCTTCCTTCCTTCTTTCCTTCCTTCCTTCCTTCCTTCCTTCCTTCCTTCCTTTTCTTTCTTCCTTTCTTTCTTTCTTTCTTTCTTTCTTTCTTTCTTTCTTTCTTGGAAAGAATGCAGGGAAGAAAAAAAATGTAAATAAATCAATACACTCTTCAGGTGGGAATTTGGAACTTCATGGGCAGTTGTTCAGAAATACATGTCCTGTCATTCAAAACAAATAAGAAGTACAAGCCCAGAGGTCAGAATGAGCTACTTGTATCACAAAAGCTGACAGCGAGAGGGGTGGCAAGGTGTGGGGGGACTCAGCAGTATCCCTCTTGGAATGGCACTGCATTAAAAGTATTAGTCTAGACGTTTAATTTTAAGCAAGTTGTTTAATTTCTCAGGGACGGTTTTCTAATCTACAAAACAAGAAAGCCAGTTGTTCCCAAAGCATGAAACTCTTTGTGAAAAAAGCCATTACTCTTATCTCTCTCTTGTAGGAAATCATTCTGCATGTTAACATACTTTTAAGTATCTGAATGGTTCTGCAGTAAAGAAGTTCAACTTACATCAGCACAGAACCATTGTTTTTCTCATAACATTTGAAACATCTAAATATTTAAATTTAGGATTCCCTAGAATCCACACTGAGAACTGATGGGATCGATCGATCAAAGCTGAGAGACTTTCTGATGTTTCAGTGACAATGGTGGTAGTGTTCAGTCAGAACATTTTATAGTGGGATTTAAAGTGCAAAACATAATGCCATACACACAAAAAGAGATAATAATCACTATGTAGACAGTTACATGTAAATAACTGAGAAGAGAAGAGAAGGTAGTTTTCAAAACAAGTGGCAAGAAGTGCTAGCCAAATACACTTGGTTCAGCTAATCAGAAAAATCTTGACATGCGTATCATTTCCCTGTACACCAGGTATTATCACAAAGGAAGAAAAAGGAAAAACGATGAGCATATAGTGGCTTGGAAACTATCCCAAAACAGATCAATGTTTATAGATACCAATTACTAGCAGCCTTTCAGTTTTAATAAATCTACTTTTAAAATAATTAATTCTCAGAGCAGCATAAACCATAAAACATTCATTACTTTCAGAAACTTTCAGAAGATTAAGATTCAACTACACATGAACAATTAAAGCTATCCTTTGATTTCTGATTTTGCATCTGAAAGGAAGAGGGAACAACCATAGGAGGTAAATTTCTGTAGCTGCTATTAGGTTGCAAATGAACCCAAACTGGCACCACCAAGGTATCACTTAGAATCTTTGATCATTTTATTTAACTTTTCTCACAGAAGACAACAAACATAACTTTCGAAACTTCACACAGGCACACACTATCTTCACCGAGTTCTATCATTCACTATATGACCATTCTTAAGGCTCTAGAAGATGCAACTACATGATATTTACCATAAAGAATTAACCTAAAATATAAGAAACAAAAAGACATGGACTCATGTAGCAATTTCTTGATGTGGAGTTTGGTAGAATGAAAATATAATCTCAAATCTAGTTATTAATATATCTGAAATATCTAAATCACTCACTGTCTTGCACATAGAAATTCCTGTGTGTGTGTGTGTGTGTATGTGTGTGTGTGTGTACATATGTGTGACAGAGAGAGAGAGAATATAAATACTTTTCAGAAATTTTCAGGCAAATATCTAAGTTCTCTGTTCCTAAAGTCAAAGAAAACAATTCAGAACACACATCAGGCTACCTAAGAAATACTCAAAGTACATCTTTCTACACAGACTTCTAAACATTCATGAACAAATCATGTGACTCTCCACAGCCTTGATTACGCTAAGCTCTAAAATCTAGGCAAACAGGAATATGACAGGAAAAGAATGTCAAAGAAACACATAGAAAAATGTGATATCCTATGGCAGAAATGCTGTCAAATGCATAAATTCATGACTCTACCTTCAAATATAAGGTCTTATATAAGATACTCCCCATCTGACTGTTTATGTACAGAATGAATACAGCATTCCCTACCAGTCTTTTCCCACATTAGGATCTAGTCACAGCACTCATGGAAATGGCTCACCACTTGTCTGTGCTATACAGTTTTCAAAAAGGTTCTATGAACATTTGGTTTCCTCTTTTCTTAGAATTCAAACTCTGTGTTCAGAAATAAGAACATGCAACCAGAAGATACGAATCTGCTAAAATTTTATTGGTGTCTTTTTTTTCTTTCTATGAATGTGTCATTAGCAGGAAATTCAGAAAATCATACTGACAGAATATACAGTAGATGGGCTCACCATGATAGGCAGTGAAAATTCTTAATTTTTCTTCCAAAAAAATAACTCTATTAGGAACATTAATAAGACACTATGCACATCCACACACAAATATATATTTATTATGACAATATTGTCATGTCAACGGACTCCAAAGATTCACCTTCAATAAAATTAAAAAGAAAATACACACTTTCTTTTTCTTTTTAATTTTTTTTAATATTTATTTATTTTTGAGAGACGAAGAGAGATAGAGCATGAGTGGGAGAGGAGCAGAGAGAGAGGGAGACAAAGAATCTGAAGCAGGCTCCAGGCTCTGAGCTGTCAGCACAGACTCGCAGCTCAAACTCACTCAAAGTGAGATCACGACCTGAGCCGAAGTCAGACACTTAACCAACTGAGTCACCCATGTACCCCGAAAATACACACTTTCTAAAGACCTACAGACCTAATCTTTATCAAATTTAACCTGAGCATGATGGAAAGCAGGTCAAAGGAAGCAAAGAATATAATATAGCCCAACCTTGCCATCAGTGCCATAAGTATATGACACAGTCCCTGGATGCCCCAGTCCCAGAAATTAGCTCAGTTAACTGGATACAAATTCAGGCTTTCCCAGTTCTGTTGTTTTCATTTTCCAGAGCCATTATCCGAGCATGAAAGACTTCATCTTTAAAGGGAAATAATTTCATTGTTCACATAGCTTTATAAACAAATTAAGGAAAGGTCAAACACATAGACTTCAGTCCTAAGAGCAGACAGCAAGATGAAAACTGCAGACTTAGGAGACAAATGAAACTAGCCATGATGACACATAGATCTGTGTCACAGGCAGAAACTACAAGCCACTTTTTAAATAAGTAGGTGCCAAAGTTACCAAGTTGGACAAGTCTTCATGAAGCCCACAGGTTAGCTGGAGAGACAAACCTTGAGCAAGGTTTGAGCAAGGAAGGCAACTACGATAGAGACAAGTAGAGATGAACCTGGTCTATAGTTCTAAGAGGACCACTTTGAGGAAGTAAGAA